TATTTCTAGACTTCTTATAGAAATGTTTCCATTTTGTAAGGATTCAGCGGTGAAGTGCTTTTTAATGGATGATATGGGCTATTTGGTATCCCATCCATCATTATTACAACCAACGAGTAAAGTTGAACAACAACATTTAACACATAAAGAGCAATTAATCGCTAATGACATATTAAATCAAGAATATTTTGTAAAGAAAAAGACATGTGCTAATTACTTAGATGGTACTATACAAAGATATTATCATTTTAATACTTCCTTACAAGAAATTTTAACAAATACGGTACACGGAGAACATTGTATAAAATATCAAATAGCTGCCATACCTAATACTAACATATTTCTTGGAGTTGTTAATGTTACATGCAATTCTTCAAGAGCTTTTTGCCCATGTAGCACAGTAAGTGTACAATATTTTTAACTGAATGATTTTTTTGTACATATTTATTATTTTATGCATATTTATTGTCCAGACAGATCGTTTATGTTTAAATTGTCGAAGAATGGAACAAACTGAATGCGAATGCCCATGCGAATGTTCCTTGTATTCTTCAAGTTGTGTACAGCATAAAATTAACTTAGAGGCATGTCCACCTCCACCTGAACAAGTTGTACATTTACCACATTCTTGGTCAATGCATTTAAGTATAAAATCCTGTCCTTCTTTTGATTGTAAAATATTTAAAACAGAGGAAGAATGTCTTGGTATCGTAGGCTGTCAATGGTGTCATGTAGACATTGATGGTGTAACTTCTTTGCAAATTCCATTTTGTTCTGACATGTTTACATGTTTTAAAGGCAGTTTCGGAACTCCAATACCTTATAATGATGAAACTCATGGTAATTCATGATTATATAATATTTATTAAAATATATATATATTATATAAAAGTAATTATATATATTTACAGATTCTCAATCAGCAGAAGAAATTGTAGTTCGTGAATTTTCATCAGTTGGACCAGTCGCAGGTGGCATACTTGCTTTTATTTTAATTTTAGGTGTTACGTTGTGTTGTTATAGGTTGCGATCTATGCAATCTGATTTGGAACATCAATGCTTGCATGTGCAAATTTCACCTGACGTATTACATATGACACATTTAGAAGGTGATGCAGAACCTTTGGAACCTGACCAAACAAAACACAATTTAGATTCTTTTATAAGAGATGCTATTGCACCTATATCACCTTATAGGGTTTCAACTAATTATAAGAGACCTGGTGGGGATAGTGATCATGGTTACAGTACTATGACACCTCATGATGATTCAGAACAGCAGATATTTACAGAACCAATGTTAATTGTTAGTTCTAATGTCGAATTTAATAATGCGAAACGATCTAACAGTTTACCAGCACCAACAACAAATTTAGGGCCTTCACATTATATTTTAGCACCTGTTACTGTTCATAGTAACATGGAAACAAATTGTTGCTAAATGCAGGTTCATTATCTTTATCACCTTATTAACATATTTTCATTATCATTGCCATTATCATAAATATTAAATATTAAGTATAACAAAGACTATATATACCTTAAAATTTGATATGATATACAACATATTGCAATTACTTGCCCATAAGTTTTAATGAATATTTTGAAACTTTTTTGAAAATGTACAATTTATAATATTTATAATGACAGTTTTCATATTAAATAACTTTCTATTAAAAAATATATAACAATTGATATTTTTATACCGCTGCACTTCTTGAAACTTTTTTAAGGAATCTAGTGCCATCAAATATTAACTCTCACTTTTTGGTTTCTTTTTATCTATTATATTTAATTAATAATGGAAATAATATTATATATAAAAATATATACAAATTATATTTTACCTATGTATATTGTATGTATAAAAGAAACTCTATTTTTCAGTATGAAATATTTTAAAACAAGGAACGACACACAATCCAACATCACATTCTTCACACTGATAGCGCGATTCACGTCTTTTATCATTTTTACTGCAAACAACGCATCTTCGTAATTTATTTTTTCCTGAAGATGTATACTGACTAGGAAAGTGTCTTCCAATTAGTCTTAAAGAATTAACATCACTACAGTTAGTAGACTTCACATATTTCTTTTGTATTTGATTAGACAATTTTAAATGAAACTTTTCCATGGATATCATTGCACAGGTTTTAGATTTATATAAACAATAAGCCTTAAGTAGGCATAAATCTATAACGTGATCATAAGTTTCTTCAGATTCTGAAGTACTCAATACATTTAGTGGATTTTTCTTGTGGGGTTCTACATTTGTAGCTAGTTCATTTTCATCACAACTATCCGAATCAATCTGTACTGTCTCGTTTACAAGTCGCCGTTTCTTCAGATTCTTATGCTCCATCTAAAAAGTAATAAAACCCAAACCATTTAATAAAATTAAGGACAAATAGATAAAATTAACGATTTTGCGGATATAAAAACTTACGAATTCTTCACACTTCTTTTTTCGTATGTAATGTTATTATTAATTAACTTTTTAATATCAGCGCCGACTATAATCGGCATCCACGTAACAAACTTTGGGTATCAATTTCACACAACCTATAATAATTGTTTCAACCGTATAGAATCATACTAAACTATATTAGTAGTTGCATTTGAAGCTATTCATTATTCTGACATAACAGTATTTAAAACAGTATACCTTTAGTAAAACAATGTCCTTAAATATACCAGGCATAATGTTTAATCGATTTATCATTTAAAATAGGAAGATTTAAATTAGAAAACGTGCATTCCAAATTGTTAAAGTAACTTTATTTTTTGTGAAAAAGAATAGTTTTAAAATATCACTTCCTCGCTCAAAAGCTTCGTCTTTTAAATGAGACCTTGTCCATCAAAATTAATTAAGAATTATATCTGATACGTTCAAAGGCGTAATCACTATTTTCGACATTTTGTTGTTGAAAAATTAATTTCGTACAGTGGCGCCCCATGAAATTTATGGTTAACATGTTGCCGTACACTTATAATTTGACGATCGTGCTCAGAAAAACATTTTTGTTTTTTAATTGTGTGTTTATTTTCCATGAAAACTCTCGACGATTGTAACTATCACTTGCTTTACATATTGCCAAAAATCGGACGACTATAGCCGTCATTTGCGGCAACGTGTCAAAGAGACCCTCTCATCCCTATCATTGGTTTTTCATTCATTTTCAGATCTCACGCCACTGAACTTTGGACAATTTTTTGTATTAATAAACTATCGTCAAAATGACAACGTTGTATTGATAGTTTAGATGCATTTTTTGATTAATTTCAGTCTCAAATCGAACATTTCATACTTAATGACCTAATATTATGCATCATTTTTTAGATGTCGGATATAGTCGGCGTTAGCCACTGTGAATCAATCATTTTATGAATATCAGATATAATCAATGATAGCTGTAATAGGATTCTTATTACTTATTTTTTAAAAATAGATTGTATTTTATTAATAATAGAAGATAATAAATATATAAGTCTTTAAATTTACTTTTACTGGGACACTAGGATGCAGGTTTGAAGATCTATGAAAAAATTCATCTATGAAATTAATCATTAAACTTAACGTAAGACATTTTATTTCATTTCAGCATTTCATCAAAGTTAAAATTTGAATAGCAATAAAATTCATTAGCTAAATTATTTTTATGCTTTGGCAGGAAATCACATTTTTCAGCAGCTAATAATCGTTTAACTAAATTCATCATAATCGCACCTATATGGATGAAATAAAAGTATTTTATATATATAATCTTTTTTGGTTCGAATATAAAATAATTATAATATAAATCAATACCTGTACAAAGTACAATTTTGTTCTTTGACAATAACTTTATTGTCACAGCTGTTTTCGTTAAACATTCATCCGATAGAAACGGAGGATCTGCTATAACTAAATCAAAACTATTGTATAAATCCTTTGGTATATTTAAAGGAAAATTATAATCATATGATATAAAATCTGATCCAAATACTGCAAAACGAGAATCATACTCTAAAAGAGTAACTGCAAAAAATGGATAAATACTGTTGGTTTTTTTTATACTTCATATATAATCTAATATACATTAAAAACAAAATATATACCTTGTCTTTCTTCACACATTTTTTTTAACGGTATATATACAGTTGGACAAGAAATTAATGCAATTTTTCCATTAACAGGAGTAGATTTTAAAGCACCTTTGACAATCGTATTTGTTGTGTTCTCATCATACCAAAACTGACTTAATTGCTAAAATAAAATAATAAAATATGATAGCACTATAATTTATAAGAAATAGTCGACATATAAAATTGTTTATATATTTTCAAATTATCGATTTAGATTACCCAATCTTCTTCAAATGATACATGTTGTAATTGATTTGATTGAAATACATCTGCTAATTGCTTTTCTCTTTTTTCTTTTTCTTCGAGAAATTCTCGTAGTGCAGTTATTGTCGTAGGACATAATGATGGTTCGTCGTCATTGTCACTCATTTTCTGTTAGTATTAATTGACATGAAATATATTTTTAATTAAAAAAGAGAAAAAATGAAAGAAAATCTTTTTCGAATAATGTTATTAGTAGATGCTAATTCAAGGTATAATTGCATATGTATTTGTTTATGTCCATGTGCAAAATGTAAATATTTACATACACATTTGAATGCACATACATGCACATAACAGCAGGAATGCTCGATAAGTCGATTGCAATCGATCAATCGATCGTAATGCGATTATTGGTTGATCTCGAAACGATTTTCGATCGATCACAGTCGACAGGACACAATTTCAAATTTAAAAAGATAACTTGTTATTAATCAATTAATTGATTCCTTTTAATTAATTTGAGATGTTGAATAAAAGGTGTGTAAAAGTTTAATTTTTATAATATAGTGTAGGACTGTCATTGGTTGATCGTATAGTCATTTTTTGGACAAGTTTGGGGTTCAAGTGCACTCTGGAGGCTGTGTAGTACATTAACCAGGTGTCTCTACAGTAGTATTTAGTGCTATCTAAAATGTAATTTTTTTTATAAGTGAAGCTAATATCGAGGATTTATACGCCACGTTTAAATTGATATTATTGAAAGAATTGGTAATTAGTAACTTGATAAGGGAAAAATAGAACTGTTAGATATTTTTGTTATTTGTAAATTATACGATAAAATTCATAATTATGTCAAATTGATTGCATGTAACGTTCGATAAAAAAAAAATTGACGTTTTTTTTTTTTTTTTATTAAAAAATATTACAGATGAAGTCTGAAAAAGACAAGTGGAATGATAAAATACACGCCATCTGATGGATTTCCTTGTTAATCAAACTGTCCAAGGAAACGATGGGAGTTGTTTCTTCCCCTCCGTTGTAATACCACCAGCCTTACGTGTTGCGAAAGAGGACACACGATGGAAATTGTAAACATTTACGTGTCTTGAGTGTTTAGAGGGACAATTTTTATTTGTAATCATGATAGACAGTAACATTTCCATGGAGGAGGATACTGAATTACGAGATTTAGTGGTACAAACTCTTGAAAATAATGGTGTTCTCGCTAAAGTCCGGGTAAGATTAGAATAATAAGAAATAATAATCTTATATAGGTTATACATACCATGCCTATAATTTAATATCTTCTATGTCAGTCTAATACATTAGAAATTTCTGATATTATATAGATTATACAAATCATGCTTATAATTTAATATCTTTTATGTCAGTCTTATGTCATAGAATTTGTTTGTGATTTTGTAGGCTGAATTAAGGGCTAGTGTGTTTTTAGCTCTGGAGGAACAGGAATCTGTAATGGTAGGTAAGAATAATGTTGCATTGTATTGATTGTATTTTATTTTATTAACAGAAAATGCAACTTTTAGTAATATTAGTTAACGTTTAAGTTCTCAAATAATTAAGAGTGCAAGAAAAAATGTTCAAAATTATAAATTAAAGGAATGGTATTCTCTTTTAGAATCCAGAACCACTCCTCAACAAAACAGTAAAACAGTACCTGGCTAATTCCGAAGGAAAATTACTATTTTCATTGGTTAGGGAGTTCCTAGAATATTTTGGTCTGGATTATACTATATCTGTATATGATCCAGAAACGTATATTGGAAAAGAATATAACTATGTCGGTAGAAATAAATTATGTGAAGAATTGGGTATTAATTCTTCTGAACCATTACTTGGAGAAATTTTAAAGAATAGCATGAATATCTGTAACATAACACAAAAGGTATTTAATTTAATTTATCTTAAATAATAAGTATATAAACTTTTTATCACGTTGTATATAATTATTGTAGGTGGAATCTAATGATAGTAGACATAATAAAACAAACGAAACATCAACAAACTTTGCAAATGCAACCTTTGAAGTTCCTGTACCAAAAATTCTACATACCGAATCATTGTCAAATGACAATGATTCTTCTGAGAAACTTGGTAGTTTCTCGGAACAAAGCACTAGTATTCCAATAAATGTGACAATAACTGACAAAAAGAAAAATATGCAAACATTACATAATGATTTATTAGGTGAGTCACATGACAAAGAACAAAATTCTCTCAGGGAAAATATAATAGTTTTTGACAACGTAACTGATAAAGACGGTATTAATGACAAAGGGAACAATATACATTCTGATAAAAGTCCTATAAAAAGAAATGACACATACGAAGTAATAAATCATACACTAAAAGAAACTGCCACAATTGCACCTGGTCAAACTGATATGTTCAATAAAGAAGGACCTTTTATTACATTTGATGAATCTATAGTATCTGAAATGCAACAAAATCAAAATGTGGATGTTACAAAACAAAATAGTATAAATAATAAAGAACTACATATTATGAATAATGTACAAAATAAAAAAGAGATTAATATAGAATGTAACTTTGGAAAAGCTATTTACTTTGAAGAAATTATTGTTGACGAAAAAAGAGACAATGTTGGTACTGTACATAAAGCTGAATCTTCATCACCTTTAGATAAGTCTGGTTCTATATTTGATCTGCCACCATTAAACGGGAAAAAAACTAATATAAATGATATAAAAGAATTAATGGATGTTGGACTTGGTAAGGAGAAATAAACCAAAACTAACATATTATTTCTTATTGCATAATACGAAAGATATATAACTGTATATATATTGTGTATGTATATATTATATTCATAAAATAATTATTTTTAATGTTCAACTAGCATTAGATAATGTAGACAATTACGAAGAAGATTTTGTGTCATCTGCGTCGGGTAGTTTTAATGAACAGAGTCCGTCTAAAGAATTACAAGAATTGGACAATTCTTTACAAGTACATGTGAAAAAAGAAGATACAATCCAAAGTACTCGTAGTGAGGACATCAGCGAAGAAATAGAAGAAACTGATGAAATACTGAGTAGTACTTCGTGCGTAAGTAAAATAAATACAGATTTATTTCAATATTTTTTATTACATTAATGGGGGACTAGAGTATTTGCTCTGAATATAAAAATTCATGGAAAATGATATGATCTTTTTTGGAGAACACAAATATTTTAATTTATAGCATTATACACATAAATTTTAATACTCCTCTTTTTTTTTTTTTATAATATGTACTGTGTATATGAGATATACATATACATTGATATGTCATTAATATATTATAAGAGTATTTTTTTATGACAATTATTCGTTTGTACGATAAACTTTCTATGAGGATTTATCTATTCAGAATAATTTTATTTCAGCTTCAGGGTGTGAATATAAATGAAAAGGATGAAAAAGTTTCACATTTCACAACGGGTATTACAACAAATTATAGCAATGAGATATAATCTTAACCGATATTATCATAATAAGATTCTGTTAAGAGTCTTAAATACCTTATTCGATTATAATTTTGACAAGTGTTTCTCACATTGTAGTTGCTTTACAACGATAAGAATGTTATTTTGTTGTGCATAGTAATGCTAGAGTACAGGAAGTACTGCTTTCGGGGACTAATATCCTATACTAAGGCATCATGTGTAAGACTATGCTGATTATTATGGATTGAGAAACTTACTGGATTTATTTTGCAGTTTTTAATAAGGCACTGCCAGCTATGGCTGAATACTTATAAGTCGCGCTGCAAAAATCATGGAAGGAAAATGCCTTTATGAGCATTTTTCTATTCATTGCATTTCTCTATTTTATATAGATTAAATGATGTATTTTTCTACATTTTATAGATTTAAGAAGGAAATGTAATTTTTATTATAAAAAAAAAAAAGAAAATATTTAAGTTTATGACCGATCCATATACTTTTGGAAGTGAATACAGTAAAAATGAAACGAAGTAATAGAAATCTATATATTAAAACTATTAACTAATATTTAATCTATGTCTATATTGTCAAAAAAATACTAGCTTTTTAATAGGCTCTGTTAATAGCAACAAAAAAATTCTTTACATTTCTTTGATAACTGGTAAATGCATAGAATCTCTCAATTTGATTAAGAAGCCTAAATTTGGGAAGTGGTGGGGAGAGAATTTTAGTAAAATGACTGATAATTACAAAGTACTTGTTGCATTATTTTGAGACTGACAGTATTTTGAATAACTGGATCTTCATTTCTAAACAAATCACATCATTTTGGGAAACATAATTAGTAATTAATGTCAAGAATATTACAAAAAAATATCTATGTCTTAAGCGACGTATGATGAAATGATTTTTTTACTTCGTACATAAATACGTAATTTGCCATGAATTGTTAAAAAAACAAAATGAACACATAGATTTTAATATTGCAATAGTAAAAGACTTCAATGGAGGTACATAGTATGAGGCAATTTTCCTTCTATGTTATACGTATGTGCCTAGTATTATTATCCTTATGAGCAACTTGTATAAGTGTTACAATATTTCAAGGACCAGGAAACTATTGATTGAGTTATAGTTAATTAATAACGAGATCAATTTTTTTAAAGGAATATTCTTAGTATTTTATCCTTTTTGTGCTTGACAGAAAAATTCCTGAGTCTAATTTTATGACTGAATATATGATTCATTACCTCATTTAATTAAACATAGATGCTGCGATATCTATAATATCAGTAAACCATCCGTCTAATAATGGATTGCCTAAAATAAATCCGTCAAATTATTTTTTTGATAACAATGGTGCTAAATATTTGAAACTAAAATAATTTATGAAGGTTGATGAAGCTATTCAAGATGAAAATTTAGGTGCTTATCTATCATCTAGCAACACTGTTTGCAAGAGATTAGTAATTAACAAAAGTTGTAGGGTAGGATCTTAATTTTTGGGCAATCCAATACAATGAAGAATATTTAATATAGAAAAGTTCGCTCTATGTATGACGCAATAACTGAGTACAATTCAAAATGGATTGACAGGATGCTTGACAAATCAAAATCCTTTTGTAAAAACACGTAGCTTGCTATATTTACAAAAGAATTTTCATTAACAGCTAAAATCTGATAATATCACATATGCTAAATGGCATAGTTCATTCAGACAAAGAGATTGTATGCTTGTATAATATGTACCATGTATAAATTTGATTATATAGTAATTAGATTATTTAAAATATATATATACAAAACTTTTTACAAACTTCATGTACACTTCATGTACACTAGATTTTTGTACTACATGTACAACCAATACATATTTCTTTTTTTTTAATTATTTTCATCAGAAATGTTACATTAGTAAAATTATTATATAAAATCATATAATACTATGTAACATATCTCTTAGTCTGAATCAACATTTATCCCAGTATGATCATTAAATCAGGTGTGTTCCTGGCCAATCAGCGTGGTTACATCTTGTTTTCAGTACAGTATACAGTTTTATGAAAGAATTCAGAACTGGTTTGAACATTCCCACATTCTATAAGATATAAGAACTAGATACATTCCATTATTGTTATTAAGATAATTTTTTGTTTGTTCATTAGCTTTAGAGAACATATCTATTAAAATAGAATTTTTCTTACATTTTATAAAAAGACTATGCGATATAGAAATAATCTATGATCATCATTAAATAATTACAGCATCATCAGATTTTATTTAAAATAGATGTTGAAAGCAATTCTCAGAAGGGTTTACTAAACAATAGAAATATTTGTTATTAGCGATTTTATTTTGGAGGTAGTATATAATGATTAATAGTACAATTCAATACTAACTAACAGTTTGCAGCTGCATATTTTCTCTGTTTTAATATCGAATAGCTTTATATTAAGCTTTTCTGAATATGTATCTATCTATATTAAGCTGCATCTTATGACATAATAGTTCCATATTGAAATCTATCGACTCTTCAATATATTTTTTACTACATGAAACAAAGAAAATTAAGAATGATCTTATTGATATATACTGAAATTTTTAAATTGCAGAAGGGTTGATAAAAAGTTTATTGATGCTGTAGAATAATGAATATATACTTACATTCTTGTTGCAGATTCAAATTATAGTCGATCTATAATTTTATTAGTACAATATAAGTTATACAACATATATAATTTATAAAAGATTTGAATATCTTTTACATATTTTCTCTTATAAGGTTTTGTTCATACATTATTATTATTATTATTTTTATTATTATTATTATTATTATTATTA